TGCCTTAGCTACGTCACAGTTAGACACTGATTTTCAGTATGTCAAACTGTTCTTGTGATAATGAAAGCAATTATCCCTTTAGTTTATCCAGATTCCCGATGGTTAATGCTGACTCGATCGCCGAATGAAAATGGCGACGCCATGTTTGTTTATAAACACTGAAAGTAGTCCCTACTTGACCTTTGATATTTGCATCTCTATCCGCATATGACTTCATAAAGATTTTTTTGTTACATTTACAAGGTCCAGTCAATATGTCAAATACTCTGCCTGGTATTTCAGTCAATTTGTACAGATTGGCTGCTTTTGCACATTAGCTGTAACATATATAGTCTTTTCTTCTAAGGGTAGAATAGAACTCTAACGGTGGTCATATTTGTAGTGAATGTCAACCCTTATCGTATTCAAACTATTCGTTTGACTTTGGCTTAACAAGATGATTGGAATCCGAGTTATATACTTCATAGCGCATCATAATTCTGTTGAAACTCTTTCTTTTCCCTCATCAAGAGTTTTGGTCGTGTGGCCTCTAGTATAGGTCTTCAGCAACCCATGCTTGTCGTAAAAGGCGACTATGCTTGTCGTAAAAGGCGACTAACGAGATCGGGTGGTCAGGCTCGCTGACTTGGTTGATACATGTCATCGTATCCCAATTGCGTGGATCGATGCTGATGATGTCGATCACTGGATTGACTTGTCCAGACTCGATTATTTACAGACCGCCGTCATATGGCTTGAGTATTGGTGAGTGCGGCGTTAAACAACAAACATCAACATCTTTTCAGGCCGTATGTTTCTCGTGCTCATTTCTGACTGGCGACGTCGTATGAGTCGTCGTGTCCTTTCGTCAACTTTGTGATTTCAGTAATAAGGCTAAAATAGATCTCATCGACATTGTTGGGAAACTGTAACTCATGTGCATATTCACTGTTCACTAAATTAATAGACTTAGAAATTTTAAATATCTATGTTGAATTCGTAGAAAAACAAACCAAAGGATAGTTTGTCATTTTAATGTGGGAGGAAAGTGATGCAGGTCTCAGACGTTTACCACTTCGCTGAAAAGATCACGGGTATTGTGCTGGCAAATCTAGAAACGTTCTGGGCGAACCGGGATTCGAACTCAAAATCCGAACCCCAAATACAGGTTTTCTTCACAATGAATTGCGGACCGGGCCATCAGTGCCCATCTTACGTCAAAGACAGGCAAACACATATTGTATTCATGGAGAACAGTTTGTTTTGCATTTTGAACTTTGGCACTCTAGCTCTGAGCTATTTCGATGTCATTGTTCTTTCCAAAGTCTATTGTTTCACAGGGCTCTGTTTAAACATTTTTTGATTTCATGACAATACTGTTTTCAGATCATCCTAGAAAAACATTCTAGAACTGTCAAAATCAAAGGTTTCCTGACGCACTTCCTGAACAATAAATCGAACCATACATATTAATGCGAATAAATAAAGTATTCCATGAAATCTCAGGGTGATTCCAAACAGGCAGTGTTTGTTGTTGCCATGGGAAGGCTGTTTGAATAATACACAAGAAGCAAAAGAACAGTTATACCGCCATGTATTTTAGTTGACGTTCATGTTTATTGATTTCGTTTTAAGTATGCAGGTTGAATATAACTGAAGTTAATTTCTGAAAGAAAACCACCATGGGGGTCCATGAGAACGAAAGGAATATATGACTATACAATATGTTCAGCAAGATGACAATGAGTGATTTGAGATTCACGTTAAGATGCTTTAAGAACTTGGTTACATGTAGGTTCTTGAGTTTGAGATGTTGTTAAGAGGCGATGGGATAGCTTAGTGGTTAAAGCATTCGCTCGTGACGCGATTGAATCGCATTAAGTACGCACTTTGTGTTCCCGCGTGGGGGCTGGGGTTGGGGGGTTGGGGGGTGGGGGTGGGGGGTGGGGTGGGGGGGGAGGGGGGGTGCAGCCCTCTTCCAGGCTATATGATTTCTTGGTCTGAAATAAAGCATATGTATGGAGATGTGATCTGGATGAAGTAATTAATTTTCGAAAGAGGGCGAGTCCTTTATATAAGATAGGTACGCAAAGAGCAATGAAGGACGAAATATTGTTTATTTCACGATAAGGCATTGTTGTAGATTGGACACGATATTTTTGAGACGCAAGTGTCTGGTGAGTTCCTGCCCACAGATGTAGCTGGGCTACACAGAAAAACGCAATGGCCCAACGATCTCAGCCGTAAGTGGGCGAGTTATGGCAATCTGTATTCGGGTGAAAGATACATATATTTGCAGTGAGAATTGTGAGAATATCCATGAAATACCAAATTAGCTCCCCTGTTCATAAAAAGGATTTGTCGTCTGATTGTATTCAGGGAATCATCATTATTTTAATACTTGTAAATATTTTTAAAAGCGTGTTCTTTTCAGTAAACGTCCTAAAAGAGGCTGCATATAAACGTTATTATATCATATACGCGACTCGTTGTTTATCGTACAAAACAACACTGCAGGGAGAATTAACCACTCGGGGCTGCGCCTTTCATAGTTGACTCTAGCTGTAGTGTTTTTGTATGATAATTACGATCAAGAGCAGTTTTTGAAAAAAAATACTATATACCATCAGAAAGAAATTCCACGTCACTAGTCCAAGATAGTAGAGGCTGGTCTTTTCAATGTTTACCGTCAACATCGTTTTTTTTGTTAGAATTGGCAACATAATCTATCGTACGTTGTAAATTTACATGGGTTTCTAATAGAAGTGTGTGAGTTGGGTTACACAGTATTCCGGTTACATCACAACGTGTCAGCTTAATGTGGGAGGAAAGCCCGAAGTGATGCAGGTCTCGGACGTTTACCACTTTGGTGAAACCAACGATCGAGCACGGGTATGGCGCTGACAAACCTAGGAACATAATCGGGGCGAACCGGGATTTGGACCCCAAATCAAAGGTTTCTGGCTTGTCCAAGGGACGCAACTCTGCACATCGAATAGCGGCACCTCAGACGACTGGGCCATTTGTGACCCCTTCTGCGAGAAGAACGGATCACCCGTGTACAGAACGAGACATTTTTGATACAATGTTAGGTTATCAGTGATACGGTCAAGTTGTAATCACTACAAAGTTTTTGATAAAAAAATATTTCCAAGTCGTTCAGAAATGTTGAAAACAGAATTGGGACACAATTTCATCCTTCCTTACCCAAGAAAAAAATTAACATCTTTGTACATGTTTTGTGTCAAAGTGAATATTGTTCCTTCCACTCAAGAATATCTCAATTTCATGCGAAGACCAGCTCTTCATACCTGGTCCAGTGCACAGAAGTGTCGACATATAACCCCACCAACCCGTGAAGATCCGGGGTAGAATAGTTCTTCAGCAACCCATGCTTGCCGTAAAAGGTGACTATGCTTGTGGTAAAATGTGACTAACGGGATAGGGTGGTCAGGCTCGCTGATTTGGTTGATGCATGTCATCGTATCCCAATTACGTGGATCGATGCTCATGATGTCAATCACTGGAATGTCTTGTCCAGACTCGATTAATAACAGACCGCCGTCATATAGCTGGAATATTGCTGAGTGCGGCGTAAAACAACAAACCAAACCAAATGTCATCGATGGACAGTAAAATAACTAGAATATACCTGTTTTTGTTTTTTTAAATTAGCAATCAACCATAAAAGATGTCACTATATGTAACTGTACAATATTAAAAAAGGCTATAGATCGCCAGCAACTGAAGGTAGGCCACAAACTTGGCGACTTACAGAACCTGAGCTACCTGCATTGACCCTAGCCGGATTTCCATCATCACTTCAGTTGTTGGCGATTTTTGACAAATTTAGCCAAAGTTAAGTGAACATATATTCTACGATTAAAATAGTGGTGGAGAAAAACTGGTCTTACATTGATTACAAAGTTTACTGTACAATAACAAAGAGAGTTAGGTTCAAAGTGGGATGGAACAATATTTATTTATGAAACAAAAGCAAAGGCTAATCGCTGTGTTCTTTAGATGACAGGATCTGCTCGTTGAGACTCTTAAATACACGTCCTTAACCTTGCTCATTATTTCGTACGTGATAGCTTGGTCCAGGTTAACGTACCAACTATGTACGGTAATTACTGCAGTATATGCAAAGTTCGTTGTGCTGGTTTGTGTCCCGTACCGTTCAAGTATCAGCTGGTCGTAAGTTTGTCAACAACATATCGACAATATTGGTAAACGTCAAGGAAATGTACGGAAGCGTAGTAGGGCCACGGTGAATTTGTTTTTGTCTAAGAATCTCCTACGTAGGACTTAGTATCTTCTACGTAGGACGTAGTATCTCCTACGTAGGACTTACTATCTCCTACGTAGGAGATAGTAAGTCCTACGTAAGAGATACGAAGTCCTACGTAGGAGATAGTGATTCTAGGCCATACTAAGTCCTACGTAGGAGATATTAAGTCCTACGTAGGAGATAGAAAGTCTTACGTGGGAGATACTTAGACAAAAAAAATCAACGTGGCCCCACTACGCATGCGTAGAAATGCGATGTTTCGGGCTTTCTTCCCATATTAGATGACATACCGTGAGATTACTGAAATACTGCTCAAAACAACGGAAATTCGCAACGGTCTTATTAAGTTATTCATGAGATTTCCTGGTAGACATTCAGAAGGAATTAAAGAGCATGTCAAAATGGCGCGCGTTACTGTCCAGTACTATGAGTTTTCACATTCCTGTACTCACTGGCGAAGATCCGGGGTAGAATACGTCTTCAGCAACCCATGCTTGCCGTAAAAGGCGACCGTGCTTGTAAGAGGTGACTAACGGGATCGGGTGGTCAGGCTCGCTCGTACCCAATTGCGTGGATCGATGCTCATGATGTCAATCACTGGGTTGTCTGGTCCAGACTCGATTATTTACAGACCGCCGTCATATAGCTGTAAGACTGCTGAGTGCGGCGTTAAACAACAAACCAACCTTCAGTCATATATTGTATGTGTTTCAGCATCAGCGGGGTGCACAGATGACAATTCTCAATGCAACTTCTGGAAAGGGATACACGAGTGCGTCTTCAATCCGAACTACATGATGTGTTACTGTGCTTTGTCCTGCAACACCGCCTCCGAGTGCTCAGGTGATGATCTTCTTGTACTGTCAATGTGGCTGGAAAGGGCGAGGTGTGAGAAGGACCCATTTTGAAATGTACAACCTTGATGGTTTTCTATGGCCATCTATTTTTCAATGTATTTGGCTCATAATGACATGGGGGCGGTCTGGCAGCCTAGTGGTTAAAGCGTTGGCTCGTCACGCCGAAGACCAAGGTTCGATTCCCGACATGGGTACAATGTGTGAAGCCCATTTCTGGTGTCCCCCGCCGTGATATTGCTGGAATATTGCTAAAAGCGGCGTAAAACCATACTCACTCACTCACTCACTCATAATATCATGGTTAGTATCGTAAGTCCATGACATTCTAAGAACGGTTTAAACGTAGAATATTTGCCGTTTTAATTTTTGGCTATTATACTTACTGTCGCCAGCGAATAAGGACACCCTGCTCGTGCACCATGTAGCAAGTCCCGAGATCCGGGTTAGAATAGGTCTTCAGCAACCCGTGCTTGCCGTGAAAGGCGACTATTCTTGTCGTAAGCGGCTACTAACGGGATCGGGTGGTCAGGCTCGCTGATTTGGTGATGCATGTCATCGTATCCCATTTGTGTGGATCTATGCTCATGATATGAATCACTGGATTGTCTGTCAGAGACTCGATTATTTACAAACCGCCATCATACAGCCGGAATATTGCCGAGTGCGGCGTTGTACAACAAACAATCAATCATGTTCGAAACCGTTAGTCACTTCGAAATTCTTACGACAAGCATAAATGAAATATCTAATGCACTTCTGTAATGTTACCTATTATTATTCGCCCGTAATATGTTTCTAGGATTTGTTTGTACCAGACTCGTGATCGGGGTTTCACAAAAGTGGCAAACGTCTAAGGCTTGTATCATTTTGGTCTATCCTTTTATATCAAGCTAACATTTCATGTTATAAATAAATTACTGTTCAAAGCAGCGTTGGGCTTACAGACGACCACTTCGTCTAAGGCATCTTGATTCGCTGTGCAGAGTTGCGTCCCTTGGGCATGCCAGAAACCGATGATTATTCAAATACCGATTCGCCCCGATTATGATTTGAGGTATGTCAACACAATACCCGTGCTCGTGGGTTTCACCAAAGTGGTAACCGTCTAAGACCTGCATCATTTCGCGCTTTAAATACGACATTAAGCTGACACGCCGTGATTTAAATGGAATACCATTCAAAGCGGGTTGAACCCATCTAACTCATTCACTGAATGAACATGTATCGTTGTTAAGGGCTCGATATTTCAAATAATCCACGTTAACATGTTCTTAACAAAATATGTTTGACAAAATATTCGCTTAAACTATAAACATCCTCGCATCGTGCATGAAAAAAAGCAAAACACGCGTCCGACACTTTTAGCAGCAATAGAGGAAATACTCCACGTGCCACAGCGACTCACACAGTAAAACAATTCAGACTACACCGATTTCGGGCATGTTGTGTACACTTTCGAGAAGGTCCTCGCATCCGTACGTTGCTGGTTGCTTTGTTGTTTTACGCGGCACTCAACTATATTCCAGCTATATGACGGCGGTGTGTAAATAATCGAGTCTAGACCAGACAACCCAGTGATTAATATCATGAGCATCGATCCACGCAATTGGGATTGATGACATGTATCAACCAAGTCAGCGAGCCTGACCACCCGATCCCGTTAGTCGCCTTTTACGACAAGCATAGTCACCTTTTTGCGGCAAGTATGGGTTCCTGAAGACTTATTCTACCCCGGAATCGTCACGGGTCCCGTACGTTGCTGAAAATATTATGAAGCCTCGGTCCTTCGGGTGTTGTACTTACAATCGCGATTACATGTTGTATCAATTCAGCGGCACTTAATTACTGAAGTTACCACACTATGTGTTGTATGTATGCTTTTTTGAGCCAGTTATTTCAAAGAACATCATGATCTATAGTGTTGATTGGCATTCAGCTCCAGGTGCAGGTGCTGACACACACTGCCAGTGTTCCTTCAATGCCTCGAGGGGATTCTGTGAAACCAAAGACCTAGCTACAACGTGTCCTCATACATGTTCTCTCAGACAGAGTAAGTGTCACCGTCATATGCCTCCACACCAGTTGTTCAGTCAGAGTAAGTGTCACCATCAATTGCCTCCACAACCGTTGCTCCCTCAGAGTAAGTGTCACCATCAATTGCCTCCACAACCGTTGTTCCCTCAGAGTAAGTGTCACCGTCATATGCCTCCACACCTGTTGTTCCATCGGAGTAAGTGTCACCGTCATATGCCTCCACACCTGTTGTTCCATCAGAGTAAGTGTCACCGTCATATGCCTCCACACCTGTTGTTCCATCAGAGTAAGTGTCACCGTCATGTGCCTCCACACCTGTTGTTCCATCAGAGTAAGTGTCACCGTCATGTGCCTCCACACCGGTTGTTCCCTAAGACATAGTAAGTGTTACCGTCATGTGCCTCCACACCTGTTGTTCCCTCAGAGTAAGTGTCACCATCATATGCCTCCACACCGGTTGTTCCCTAAGACATAGTAAGTGTTACCGTCATATGCCTCCACACCTGTTGTTCAGTCAGAGTAAGTGTCACCGTCATATGCCTCCACACCTGTTGTTCCCTCAGATTAAGTGTCACCGTAATATGCCTCCACAACTGTTGTTCCATCAGAGTAAGTGTCACCGTCATATGCCAACACACCTGTTGTTCAATCAGAGCAAGTGTCACCGTCAAATGCCTCCACACCTCGTGTTCCAATCAGAGTAAGTGTCACCATCATATGCCTCCACACCTGTTGTTCCCTCAGAGTAAGTGTCACCATCATATGCCTCCACACATATTGTTCCCTAAGACATAGTACGTGTCACCGTCATATGCCTCCACACCTGCTGTTCCCTAAGACACAGTAAGTGTTACCGTCATATGCCTCCACACCTGTTTGTCCATCAGAGTAAGTGTCACCGCCATATGCATCCACACATATTGTTCCCTAAGACATAGTACGTGTCACCGTCATATGCCTCCACACCTGCTGTTCCCTAAGACACAGTAAGTGTCACCGCCATATGCATCCACACCTGTTGTTCCATCAGAGTAAGTGTCACCGTCATATGCCACCACACCTGCTGTTCCCTAAGACATAGTACGTGTCACCGTCATATGCCTCCACACCTGTTGTTCCCTAAGACACAGTAAGTGTCACCGTCATATGCCTCGACACCGGTTGTTCCCTAAGACATAGTACGTGTCACCGTCATATGCCTCCACACCTGCTGTTCCCTAAGACACAGTAAGTGTCACCGTCATATGCCTCCACAGCTCGTGTTCAGAGTAAGTGTCACCGCCATATGCATCCACACATATTGTTCCCTAAGACATAGTAAGTGTCACCGTCATATGCCTCCACACCTGCTGTTCCCTAAGACACAGTAAGTGTCACCGTCTTAGCCTCCACACCTGTTGTTCCATCAGAGTAAGTGTCACCGCCATATGCATCCACACATATTGTTCCCTAAGACATAGTACGTGTCACCGTCATATGCCTCCACAGCTCGTGTTCAGAGTTAGTGTTACCTTCATGTGCTTTCACACCTGTTGTTCACTCACAGTAAGTATTCCTACTATCATGTCTCTGCACCTGTTGGTCTCGCGCCAGTTATCACTTCTAGTCAGTACACCTGTTCCTCAAGTCCTACCCGTCAAGTCCAACATACATGTTTACCTTCTTTGCAAATGTACACCCTTTCTCAGTTACATCCATTGAGTTACCATTTACAAAAGGTGTTTGACAATATCATTGTTATTCATGTCCCTCGTATGGAAACTTTGTAAGATTGTTGATTTTTATTAAAGCATTGATTACATGTTAAAATCATGAAACTTTTCCTATGATATTCATAAAAAACTTTTTTTGCTGAATTGTATGGGTTTCTAAATATAGCAGAATGATGAAAAAGAGCATAATTACAGTTATTCTTCACTTTGACCATACTGAATATATACTAGTTATTACATGTTTACAAGGGTCACGGCTGACCCAGTCGATTAAGGCGCCGCAATTCACCATGCATAGATGCGACCCTTGGGCACGCCAAGTCCTATTACTGTGGGTTCGATCCTCCTTTTGACCCAACTTCGTTTCTGAATTTGTCTGCTACATCTTCGTGCTCACGGGTTTCAACTAAGTAGTCACCGTTAGAAAACTGGAATACTGTTAAAAGCGTCGTTAAACCCAGTCACTCACTCGCTCACATGTGTTCAATACATTTTACAGCTGTCACGTGCCCCCCTCATGAACCCTATCCAAACGCTATACCTGTTGGTCGGCGGAGATACCTTGATCGAGTGACATACATATGTCGCCATGGATACCGTAACGATGGAGACGTCGGGCTTCGGGTGTGTGACGCATCAGGGATATGGAGGGTAGAGGGTCAACCACCGATTTGTACTTATGGTGAGTAGCCGCACGTTTCCAACCGATTGTAGAATGGAAAAGGAATATTTCGACACTCTCTTGAATCAGGGTGTGTGTGTGGGGTGTGTGTGTGTGTGTGTGTGTGGTGGGGTTAGGTGTATGTATTAACCGAGGGCTGAAGAGGTGCCTTTTGCTGTCAAGGAATTGTTCAGAAATGTGTTTGTTTTTTCTGTTTCCATGGAAACACGGTAGAATCAAGGGCTGATGTGATGTTTTGCTATTTAGAGGGAAGAAGTTTGACCTTGACTCTTCATCGTGGCGTGTTTGACCGGACCATATCTCTAAAACTAATTGGTATTCTTTCATGACACTTTGCACACAAAAAGACCATGTTGTCAATGGTTCCTTTTGCTACTTAGGGGTGTCTAGAATTTATATTTTTTCCATTTTCATGACAAGTTTGACTTTGACTCTGTTCATAGTGGTGTGTTTGTCCGGACCATCTCTCTAAACCTAATAGGTACTCTTTCTTGAAACTGTGCGCACACAAAGACGAGGTTGCCAGCAGCTGATGCCTTTTGCTACTAAGGGACTTTTAGAATCTACATTTTTACTGTTTCCATAGCAAAATGTTTGACTTTGACTCTGTTCATAGTGGTGTGCGACTGACATAGAAATACAAAGTTCCGAATCCCAAATCCATGGTTTTTATTGCTCAATAACTGCTCTTCTGTACGGACAGACAGATTAGATAGAAATTGTCTCATCAAGTTGGACTTAAAGTAACAGTCAGATGATTTTTTCTTTCTCGAATTTGTGGGGGCCGAGGGGATTAGTCATCTTCTGATGCCGCTTGTTGTAATCTATAAACGTTTGACACATCCGCGTATAATTCATGTCCATGTTTGGACGCTGATTGGTATGCACCCATGAGATGTATCACAATATCAAACTGACAAGATAAATTAAATTTACCAGTATGCACATATATGTTGCTCCTTTCATTAATTTGTAAAATGTATAATTGAAAACGTGAGTTATCAATATCAAGTGAATGTGTTTTGTGAGTGAGATGGGTTTACAGCCACCGTGATCTAGAGGATCTGCCCGGAGAACGGAACGTTTGGTGTCATACCAAAAAGACGATAAAAGTTGGTACTTGTTGTTACCTTGCCTGGCGCTCGGCATTAGTGTGGTAAAACAAGGACTGGTCGGCACAGAGTCAGTATACTGAGTTGAGTGGGGTATTCATGTGAATCTACGGCATGGCATCTCAGTGGGCTAGCACTATAAGACAGGACAAGCATGCATGTCGCTATATAAGTGCAATAATCATGGACGCGACGGTAAACCCAGTTTCACCTCGCCTGACCTAAATATACTATTCAAAAAAAGAAACGCATAACCCGTATTTGCTGAGAAAATTGTTAAATTCAAACATGAATAACTTGGTAGGAAATGAACTCGAGTACATGAAATTTTACATCCGTTTAGGAGAGATCAATGTCTATACAATCATGTCCATAACTTGATTTAAGGCATTCACAATATTCCTCAGACGTGAATGGAGTATCAATATCTGTTGTGCCCACCACGTGCACGAATAGCAGCTCTCACACGCCTTTTCATGGACTGGATGAGACGCTGGATAACGGCCTGGGGAATCCTCCGCCACTCCTCCTGCAGAAATGCAGCTAGTGCCTGGAGAGTTTGGGGTTGATGTTGACGCTGACGGCGATCAAGTTCATCCCATAGGTGCTCTATTGGGTTAAGATCCGGGCAACGGGACGGCCAGGGGAGCATGTTGACATTCTTAGCAGCGAGAAATGTCTTTGTGACACGTGCCGTGTGGGGCCGGGCGTTGTCCTGCTGGAAACTCTCACGTTGGACGTCAATGGCTGGCAGGAGGTGTGGTAGCAGGATGGTGTCTCTGTAGCGTACAGCCGTCAGGTTTCCCTGCACGTGGACAAGATCGGTACGATCAGTTTAGGATATTGCCGCCCACATCATCACACTCCCTCCACCAAATCTGTCCACTTGACGCACGCAGTTAGGGGCATAACGTTCATGATTCACGTCTGTAGACCCGGTTCCTACCACCACGTCTCTGCAACAGGAATCTGGAGTCATCGTTAAACCAAATGCGTCGCCAGTTGCGAAGGTTCCAGGCAGTCACGTTGTTACACCAACGGAGACGATGAGCACGATGGTGACGACGTAGCACGTTCCCGACGTAGGGTCTCCTGGCTCTCAGTCCATGTTCTCTCAGCCTGTTTCGTACAGTCTGGCCTGATACCCTCCTAAGTCCTGGCACCCTGGCTGCAGTGCTCTCATCCGTAGCAGTACGGTCACGCAAATGGAGGACCCGGATGTAGCGATCCTGGGCTGGTGTGGTGACTCTAGGTCTTCCTGTACGGGGACGGTCATTTGTTGTGCCTGTTTGGTTGTAGCGAGCTGCAAGCCGTGAAATTGTGCTTTGGCTAACCTTCAGACGTCGGGCAACAGAAGATTTGGACTCTCCAGCCTGCAGTCTTCCAATGGCGATGTTCCTTGTGGCAGCATCAAGACGTGGCATGTTCATTTGGCTTGGAAACATCTTCTGAACGAATGACTATTTCCGAAAGCAAGCTTGCTTTTTAATGCCAAACACTGCATGCTTTTCCTGCCCAATGTCAACGTGCAAGATGCCACTTGTTACGTCGTGGCGATGCATTTCTTACTCATTCTAAAAAAATCACATCAAAGGCAACATTTTCAAGCCAAATGGATTTGTTGCAAACTGAATGTGTCAATTGATGCTCTTACCAATATTTATACATATTTTGACGATAATATGAATACAAAAGGTATTACTTTCGTTTTGACATATCAGTAACACCTATGCGTTTCTTTTTTGGATAGTATATATCACTGGCACTGATGCTCCAATTTACAGATTCAAGTCTCCTGGTACCTTGCCCGGTTCAAGTAAAAGCATTTGTACCTTGGTCTACGTCAGTGGACGGAGTTGGGATCCTGGACTCGGCTCAAGACACCAACCTCTTGGAGTGCTCGGACATGTGCTTGAGGGTGCCGGGGTGTTCATACCTTGCCCATGATCAAGTCACTAGGAAGTGCTTTCTTTATTACAACGTTGCTCGAAGCGGGTTCAAAACAGCCGAGGGTGGAAGCGTGTGGAAAAAAGTGTTTCATGTTCTGCCAGTTACATACTACAGTTAAACCAGCTCTACCCTCCAAAATGAGTGGGGCTGTTCAAAAACAGCAGTGAGTGGATTAGGTTCAACGCCGCTTTGAACAGTATTCCAGTCATATCACGGCGTGCTGTGATGCAGATCTTAGACGTTAATCTCTTGGGGGAAATCCTTGAGCACAGGTATCCTTGAGCACAGGTTTGATGCGGATGAACCAAGAAATCGGGCGAACCGGGATTCGAACGCACGATCAAAGGTTTCTGGCGTGCACAAGGAACACAACTTTGCACAGCGAATTGCGGCGCCTTATATTAGATGCCCCTCGAAAATACCAGATAATTACAGAAATACAAAGAAGTTTCCAGTGATGGTTATGGATGGATATGAAAGAAGAAGGACTCGGTTTGACATGACAATCAGTTGAACATGTGTATTGTAAGGCTGTAAGCAACCACGAAAGACGACAGTGGCGTGTAGTCAAGAGTAAAACGTTTGAGATGACTCGATCAATAATGGAGCATGATCAAAGATTGGTACGGGATCGGGTGGTCAGGCCCGCTGACGTGGTTGATGCATGTCATCTTATCCCAATTACGTGGATCGATGCTCATGATGTCAATCACTGAATTGTCTGATCCAGACTCGATTATTTACAGACCGCCGTCATATAGCTGTAATATTGCTGGGTGCGGCGTAAAACAACCAACCAACCAACCCAAAGATTGGTCAAACATTCGTTTACACGGCTTGGTATGGTAAAGATCAGTCTCCCAATGACTATTTGAGGGAGTCTTGTCCACTAGTCTTGCAGCGCATTTACCTCGTCTGACGTAGCGGGTGGCCTTTGACGTCGTTGCACACGTCTCCCGATCATGTCCCAAACGTGCTCTGTGGAGGAAAGGTCAGGACGTGTGGCTGACCCATGCATTCTTGCGATGTTCCCCTGCTTGAGGCAGTCAATGCAGGGTGGACACGTGCGTTACGGTCTTGAATGACAAAACGTGGACCAACAGGGAGCGCAAACGGCACAACTATATTGGCGCTAGTGTGTGTTGTCTCGGTAGTACTGTCTAGTGGCCCATCCAAGGTCAATAGTCATGGTGATCCCGCCCCATATCATTACAGACCCACCCCCAACAATGTCTTGCTTAATACGTTGACATTCGTTAGGACGCCTCCAGACACGTCCATTTGTGTATCCGCGCTCATTTGAAAACATAACACGATGCCATCGGCGACTCCCCAAGTTTCTAAGCTCTAAAGGCAACTGGCATCTATTTCGAATGTGTTGATGTTGGTCGCTGAGCATTCAGTAACTTGAACTACCGTGTCCTGGCACAAGTGAACAGCGAGTTGACTAGATGTTTTGACTGGGATTTCTTATAGCTATAAAGTTCTGACTAATCGATCCTGGACTTGTGTTGTTGATCAATCACTAACATTTTGTGTCTGCATAAACCTGTTCTAAAGTCTAAACCGCAGACTGAGACGTATTGACCACATTGGCTACCTTTCGAGTTCTTCTATTTTCTGAAGCATGCCAATAGCCCTAAGCGTTCATCACGTTGTAGGCGACGCGTTGCCAATCTGGTCACACATACTGCATTAATTTTAAGAGTAGAGAACGTACGTGTTACTGTGGATAATGGTTGAGCGAGATTTGACGACCATTACTGATGTGTCAAAATCAAGAATGACCCCCTCCCCACTCGCATGAAGGGGCTGCAAGGTCCCCTTGCAATGTTTCGGAGATGTTAGGCTTTTTCAAAGCTGATCTTTCTTCTGACGACCGATCATAATGTAGCAGGGCGTGGAGTCATCTGACGGGGTTAACCTCTTTGGTCATGTGGACAAGGCGTCCGACCTCGGATCAGAAGGTCCGTGGTTTGAATGCCATCACGGGACTCGGAAATGTAAAGGCCGCTACATTGGCGCCCAACGTGGGGCTGAGCACGTTCATATTAAATTTGAGCAAAATAAGCCTCAGTACCCTACTATGCGGCCCGGGACGTGCCTTCTGTTGACGGTGGAGTTTGTAGCAGGGCAGATAACATCCTTACCTTGTCAGCTTGCTGACGGGGTTAACCTCTTTGGTCAAGTGGACAAGGCGTCCGACCTCGTGGTTCGAATCCCATCACGGGACGCGTAAATTTTATGGCCGCTACAATAACATTATTATTTCATCATCCCCTATTTGTTTGGGAGTATATTATAGTTAATATGGTGTTCTAGTACGTCAATTAATAAATTTACTTAGACTAGAACTCCCAAAAGGGACCGACCAATTGATATTCTGGCGTGTTGAAGGTGGGGAGGATGGAGAATGTGCCAGGGAATTTATTGAAAAAAAATGAATAGGCACAGAAAATGTTTGAAAAAATATATATGCTTCAGACTATTGAAAAAAGAAGAGTGAGTGAGTGAGTGAGTGAATTGGGTTTAACGCCGCTTTTAACAGTATTCCAGTTATATCACGGCGTGTCAGCTTAATTTGGGAGGAAAGCCCGAAGTGATGCAGGTCTCAGACGTTTACCACTTTGGTGAGAACCACGAGCACGGGTATGGTACTGACAAACCTAGAAACATAATCGGGGCGAACCGGGATTCGAACCCACAATCATGGGTTTCTGGCATGCCCAAGGGACGCAACTCTGCACAGCGAATCGCGGCGCCTTAGACGACTGGGCCACCCGTGCCCCCTGAAAAAAGAAGAAATGGTCTGCAACGAAAAATACATTGTTGCAATATTAAGGCTCCTAGTTTTAATTAAAAGATATATTTCTGGTTTTGCGTCTGTAGCGGAAACAATTTATAATACCCATACAAAATCCCATCACCCTGACCCCAAACACTCATCCTCCCAGCCAAATATAAAACGGCCAGTCCCTAAGTACATCAACGGACGAATCATTAGTAGCAACTCTATCCTTTATTATATTATGTTTACTCTGTAAACCAATTTTAGAGAATCATGCCAAACACAATACAGTGTCCTCACGACATTGTGCAGAGCAAATTAGGTCTGTGTTTGCTAAACATTCGAAAATAAGGCATAGCTCAACTTTGATTGTGTATGTAAAACGTAAACGCCAAAGGATAACTGGACAAAATATAAGTTTATATAACACATTATATGAATGGATCACAGAAAAGCAAGTGTTCGAGGAAAGGGAAAGTTTGTCTTACCCTTCTAGACTTGCTGGGGGAGATAACAAAGCGTAATGTCTTTCAAGTACATTAATTAGTACAAACCATTGATTGCATGACGGGCAATTCTGTTGCTCTTTTAACATATTTCGTGATTCATCACTAAAACCAATACAGTGCCCGCTGAGAAATGGTGCTGTATTTGTTTGCTTCACATTCGAATAAGAGGCCCAAAACTAAACTATTGATTGTGAAGCATAAGTACAGGAATAACGAAAGGTACTACCGGTATGTACGTGTATGCGGTCGATGTGTTATAAATCACAAGGTCAAAATGAGAGTAGTGAGTGAGTGAGCGCGTTAAGCACTTTGGTGAACCCACATTCATGTTTTTGGTGTGCCCAATTGCGGTGCCGAAGACGAATGGGCCCACCGTGCCCCCAAACATCAGAGTAAAAACGAATGGGAGGCAACTGATAACAAGGTAATGCATATTCATGTTGACACTACAAGTTTTCGTCGCCGTACATCAATATTTACTCGAATACACTTTTGTATCAGGGTTTTAAACGAATATTTACGCTGTCAACACAACACTCACCTGAAATATACTTAACCGCAAAAGAAACATCATCCCAAGCAACATTGTATGAAAAGTTGTCATTTAAATATCTGGGTAATTTTTGTCAAAGTTTTTAAAATTTAACATTACCGGAAAAATGAAATTTGATGCCAAAAAAACCAAAGCAGAAGACATAAAAGCCGATCGCCCAAACGCATCACGGTAACGGCCATGGTAATCCGATGCACGTGAGTTCCGTGCAAATTGAAATGCACATGCGTTCCCCCATTTCTTGCCCTACAAAAATCCACCCAGATCTGATATCATGTATTCATTATTTTATTGCTACCTCATGACAAGATTGACAAGAAATCAGCGACACCAAGCCCTTGGATGATTGCAAGCTGGACAAACCGCCCGGCAAGTAGCTAATGCATTTCAATTCAGATTGTGCGACATCTTCAAGATCGCTTTCTTACTGCTGCGGAAACTGCTCGACAGACCAAAGGGACACCCCAGCGACACATTAGTGGGGACACCGTGCGTCGACGATTGACGAGCAGACACCTCCACTGTCACAGGCCACACCGAGGGCCCATTCTGGTGTCTTGCCCTCATTTCGCCTACACCTCATTTCGCCTACAATAATTCAAATGCTTAATTGCCTCACCCCTATTATATGAATGGGCATTGTCCATCTCAGGCTGTTAACTAATCCAAGCTCTGATCTAATCCAAGCGGCATAGAGGTTCAAAGTGAAGTTTTTACAACCTATGACAACTTTCCACAACTCTTGTTTGACTTGATCATTCTGTTAATCCTAAGTTGTTTTGAATGTGCAAGTAAATCTTGTTTAGTAAAAAATCTTATTTAATAATTAAGGTGTAAAGAAGTCCTAGCTTGTGGCTCCAAGTGTATATTATTCATTGTCTTGTAAATGGTAAAATGTATCCTGTTGCTTTTTCGTTGCTTCCTAACAAGACCACACAGACATATGTTAGACTATTTAGGTTGTTGAAGGACAGTTAGGAACCAGAACTGGAACTGAACTTTCTCCAGAGGCGTTTCCGACTGATTACGAGTCAGCAGTCATAAGTGCCATTGCAGAGGTTTTTCCTGATAGTTATGTGAGGGCTTGTCTGTTTCACTATTCACAAGCTTTGTGGCGTCAGTTAGTTGAGAGAGGTCTTGTACGAGAATACACGAACAATCCAGCAATTCAGTCCCATGTTCGTCGTGTCGCAGCCCACTTCTGTGCCACTTCTCCCACTTGACCAGGTACAGAATGCATGGGTTGAGGTGATGGAGCAAGGACCTGA